TTGTCCAAGGTCGGATCAAGTACATCGAGATGCAGGTTCATGTCAGGCCAGGCTCCGCTATCAACGGCACCTACGCCTCTCAAGGCTGGATTGCTGCCACTTGGAGTGCACCACCCACCAATCCTTGGAAGCAAGGTTGGCGCCAGGACTGCCAAATCTCTGCCTCTCATCTTGCTGTTGATCACAACACCATGAATTTTGAGTTGCTGCCTGAGCTTGGCACACCTCAGCAAACCTTGGAGAGACTTCACGTGGGCCTTCCAAAGCTCAGCTTGCACTCTGATGACATTGTTTGCTTCATGGCTAAGGTCGACCTCTGGGATGACCAGAATGCATGGGTGCTTGCTGTTGACATGAAGAACAAGAGGCTAAAAGATGTGGCCGAGTTTGGCGCAGGAAGAACTCTTGGCATTAGCTCTGCCTACATAAGCAGTAGGATATCAGACTATCTTCCTACGGCTCCAGGTAATTTATGTGTTCTACCGGCGCATCCACTAACTAATTCTGTCATCCGTTGCATTGCTAGCCATCATGACCTACAAGTTTTAATTGATACTCCTGCTTGCTTTCAGAAATATTAAACCTGTGAGTTATAATTGATAGTTATATTAAATCAATTAGATTGATGCATATGTATGTGCTAATCAATTGGAAACATGTGCCTTTGTCTTTACTAACAAGAACAAGGGGACATTACTGTAGGACATGATACTCATTGTTTCTATGCCGCTGATGATAATCAAGTTCAGAACGCTACTTGTCTGGTGTTAACAAAATACTTGACACAGCTGTCTTGGAACACTTCAGTGAGCTAATAAACATATTACATAGATATAACCTATGTACAGGCAGGGAATCATGAAACAGAATGGGGTTTATGACCAATGCCCAGTTAAATGGCTGTGCATATATGACTGTAAAATGGATGCCTTTCTCTATAATCGCAAAATGTTACCTAACAAACAGATGGTGGAAACAAAAACTGCATCATGACCATGTGCTTTCACAGAAAGTGCATGTCACCTAGGTTGATTGTTTTGCTATGGAATTTTAGAGGGAAAGGATATATATATATATATATATATATATATATATATATATATATATGAGAGCTACTGTTTAGTTGTCATTGAGCCGGTTTTCACTTAATATTTTGCTGGCTGCAGGTTTAAAGGGTAACCTGAAACGACAAGGGGTTGTGTTGACCGTGCCTTCTCACAAGAAGCAGACCCGTGTGGTGCTGTCTAATCCCTCTTGGAAAGGTGGAGATCAACAAAATTCTGGAACAAGTATGGATGATAAAGAGGATAACATGGATTTGGACTTGGACATGTTTTTTGGATGAGGGGCATGGATAAGTGTGATGCATCTTCATGCCTTGCTGTTGTGTTAACTTATGGCTAGATTATCTACTGTTTTATCTGTCCTATGAGTAACTTATATGAGGGGGCTATTGCTAGTATTTTGTAGCAAGGATGAATAGTTGTATCTGTAGCACAATCTTAAGAGTGTGCTCTTGTTTATGCCCCTGTTTATTTCTTATCAATGTAGCGAGGTTGTAAACCGTATGGTCCTCTAGCTGGTGTCAAATTGCTCACACTTTATGGATGCGTGCCTCCTGGTAGAGTTGGGCGTCTCAAGTCCTATTATTTTTCTTCTGCAATTTGGTTTCCTCGCAGCTTTTCGTTTTCTGAGAATGTGAATTGTGAATCTGAAATCGGCTGACTGCAATCAACATTTGTTATGCCCTGGATGGCCTGGCAATCAACAGGTCTGTCCATAATTCTAGATGGTGTTTAATTGAGTACTAGAGTATTATATTTTGGGACAGGTGGGGTATGTTTTATCAGAACTTTTGAATGGAACAAACTTGAAGATGCAAACTGATGAGGACACCTAGCACAACACCTTGACTAGAGTAGGATCATCAACCACAAAAGCTAACACCCAGGAATTATCTTAGCAGCTTCACTCGATCATATATTGTATTGTTTACAGCGATAATTATCTGATTAGTATCTTGCAGCATTCATGGCCTTGCTAGTAAATTGTATGTTCGACCTCATCAGATAATACCATGGCTTTGGTTTAATTGGAATTATTAGATTCTCTTCCCGCAAGTTGGAGTCGTACTTTCCGAGTCTTTTTCCTTTGGTTTTTTGTTTTTCTCCTCTCTTAGAATAAGTCGGTCTGGCTTAATGCATTGTGTAACGAATATTCTTATCTTTTAATATATTGACGTGCAATCCTTTTACGTCTTCGAGAAAAAGAATTATTAGATTCTCTAACGAATTGCACGCTTACTTGATACTACTACTCTACTAGTAGAGTACCTGCTTGTATGAGACATATCCATGAACCGATCAGTTTGTCAGTCAATTCTGGAGCCGTATCAAGTTGCTAGCCCAATAAAAACTTCAGACACTTCTGTCACTAACTACCTATGCCTGGACCTGCATCTCTGAAACCACCAAATTCAGACCTGTTTGGATCGACGGATGGAATTATACCACCTAGGACTGGGAGGAGTGCCTGAGTTGCCTTCTGGCCATGGTCTTGCCCATCAATTAAATACTTGTCGTATACTCCCTCCGTCTCAAAAAAAAAAGATAAATCCTGTGTTTTTTTTCCAACATTTGACTATCCGTCTTATATGAATTTTTTTTATAATTAGTATTTTAATTGTTGTTAGATGATAAAACATGATTAATACTTTATGCGTGACTTGTTTTTTCAATTTTTTTCATAATTTTTTTAAATAAGACGGACGGTCAAACGTTGGACACGGAACCTAGGATTTGTTTTTTTTTGGACGGAGTGAGTAGAGATTAAGAAAAAGAAATGGAGCAACGTGTTTTATCGATCATACATTCTCAAGTAAAGCTGACACTGATGACCTTCTGAAGAGTTTTGTCTTCCCTTCCACTGCTGATTCGGTAACTGAACTGAATTCTACTACTGATCGAGGCAAAAATTATCTATCAATATCTGTTGTTCAGAATCAAGGATGAGGATTTGTGAATAGTTCTTTGAAATAAGAGTTCATTTACAAACAAGACTTTTTTTTCTGAATCAAGGATGACGATTTGTGCCTTGGTGAACTTTTTAGATCTTTTTATCCTTGTTAATGTGAGCAACCCCCAGGATTGCAGCTATCTTCCTTCTAATCTTCCTGTATAATCTTGGATCTGTGACGTCCTTTGGGTGGCAAAGAGTATTGAATCTGATGGCTTTTGCTTCCGGCAGAGATGGTGGTGCCTGAGGTTAACTAGGACATGCTGGCGGTACTGTAGTGCTGGTGCATGCAACAAGATAAGTTGTGAGTGCAAAATTAGATATACATTCTACAATGATCGGTTATTTTAACTGATGGTTTAATTCTGTGCTGACGTATGAATGTAGGTGGTCACTGATCTTCATTTTTGTCTACTGCAATGGACAATGCTAGAAGCTCCTCACCAGAACCATCTGCAAGAACAGGTAAAGACACCATATTACTCTTCAAAGGCAAAGATGTTCTGCAATTCAGAATAAATTTACATTGAATTGTGATTCATTCACAGAGAAATGAACTATCCAGTCAAAAATACTCTCCTACTTATCCATGGGATATTTGTTGGGTGGCATCTTAAGGAAGCAATTACATATATTTAGTGGTCCTGACTGACACAGCAAATGCCTGATGAAGTGCAAACCCAAATGGCTGCATTGTTAATGTGTCTGTTTACCTGATGCTTATGCTTGCATCTCAATTTCAGCACTATGTTTGTTAAAGGCTTCAACTGCACCTATATTTCTTCTTCATGTACAGAGGCCATCTCATTATTGGCGTTCTGTTTTTTCTTACTACTTGCCATTAGGACGAATATGCTATAGAAGAATTTGATAAATGCTCGATCCAACATGCAACTGCCTATTTGGATTAAAGGTTGAATTATCAAGCCGGGCGACTAATGATATTTTTCGGTGATCGAAAAATTGTAATATGTGTCGACCGTTGTTTATAGTGGAGACAATATCAGCGAAGCCCAAGCGGTTGCCCGATCTACCCAGGAGGTGGCTCCGCCACTGTTTATGAGCTGTGATGTGGACCGAAATATATAATATGACAAGAAAAACAAATGCATATGCTTTGTGCATGGAAAACTGAACTTGTTGTCCTTTTGGGTTGTCTTAAGTAAACATAATGCCAAATGTACGATATAGCGCCCATTTAACTTTCCTCTAGGTAATAGCAGTAGTGAAGCCTTGAAGGTGTCATTAACTGGCATTCTGAGTCCCGAGAGGATTAGCTTGCCTGTATTTTTTTATCAGATTGTGTATATTTAGGCGCCGGCGTCTGTGCATATCAAATTATTTGGTGTTGCTGAATGATGCTTTCCATAACCAAATTAACCGCACATACAAAAAGGGGAAATGGAAAGATAAGGCAAAGAAAGAGATCCAAATCAAGAATATTTTTTTTCAAAATATTAAATGTTAATTTTGTCCTAGGTACATGGAAATCGCTTCATCAAGAGAAGAAATGGATGGAGGTAGACATGCCAACGTCTTCACATGATGGAAGATCAAAAAGGACAGAGGGCTTCTTTATTTAGCTACGGAGTCGCGGCTTCATGTAATAGTGGTAGGGACGGGATCTTCACGCGAGTATGACAATAATGATAGGTCTTCATGGACGAGCGATGGGCCTTCATGCGACGATGGTGACGGCTTCACGGAACTAGAGCGAAAATAATGACTTCATAAAAAGATAGCGACAACTTCACGCACACTAAGTGGAATTGTTAATTACTATGTTTGGAGCTCTGGTGACCGATCGATTTTGGTCACATGACTTAAGCTAATTGGCATGCTAGTTTTATCGGATCAGGTGAAGGAAAAAAGTTTTAAGGTGGTATAAAAATGATAAAAATTTAACAATCTTATTCTTAAGTCAGTGAATAGATGGAAGTTGAGGAATTGAGGCATATGCCTGCCTCCTTCCTCCTCATGTCATGTGTTCCTCTCCTCTTCATGTGGAGTCTTGAGTCTTGACAAGCAAAGAAGGAAGGAAACCTCCTCCTCCTCTTCTTCGGCTCCAAATCAACCAAACAAACACAGCTTCCGACTCTCTCCCTCCCTCCCTCCGCCTCCGCCCATCCAATTTCTTACCCCGTTCGACTCCACTCGACTCGACCCGACCCGCAGGAGAGCGGGCGTCGCAAACCCTAGCTCCACCCACACCCACACGCTCATGCCCCCCAAACCCTAGACCATGCGCGCCTCCGCCGCCCCCATGGAGACCTCCGCCTCCGCCCGCAGATCCGCCGCCCCCGACCCCAAGAAGCCTCGCCTCGCCCAGCACCCCGCCCCCAGGGATCCCAGATCTTACCCCGCTGCCGCCAATGGCAACGCCCCCGCCGTCGACCAGGCGCAGGTGGACGAGCTCGTCGCGCAGTACCGGACCGCCCTCGGGGAGCTCACCTTCAACTCCAAGCCCATCATCACCAACCTCACCATCATCGCCGGCGAGAACCTCCACGCCGCCAAGCCCATCGCCTCTCTCATCTGCGCCAACATCCTCGAGGTGACCCTTCTCCTCTTCCGCTATTCCATTCCCTTTCTCTCCATGTAAAACTATTGAGGCGCCTCCTGTCCTACTTACTACTTTATCATGTACGTCTTGTGCTAGATACAGCAAACGTGCTCCCATGAGCAGCCATCTTTTTTGTATTCTACTCTACATACATAATAACATAGCTAATCGAGATGAGATCCCTGTGCTGTGCTTGTTGCCCAAACATCACCTTCTTTACTAATGAACTGCGCACTGACCTAATTTCTAACAAAAGGTTTAAACCACCCGCATTTCGCCTATGTTGATGTATGCAAATATCAGGGTAATGAGTGTTTCGCTATGGACTGAATTTCTCTCTCTCTTACATCCTATCCCTTTCTATGTGTGCGTGCTCATGCACTACTCTTGTATGACGTTAAGGCACATGGTTATATACGCTTTACCGTTGCGGAATCCATTTCAAGTTACCGTGTGACGATTTTATGCCCACGATATCATTCACTGTATGAATATCAGACTTACTCGTCATGGCAGAAGGATATCAATGGTAGGGTTCTATCACCCTATGCAAGTGTTCTATGATGCTAGAAAATATCATAAGTATCGACTTATGGTTGCAAACTGTACCAGGCAGGCTTCAGTTTCATTCCTACTCTTCCACTATCTGATCCCCAGATTTGTGCTGCACTGCATGTTGAACTGTTCTCATGCTGATAATGTTCTCAAATTGTGTACCTCATCTCCACCGTTGCACACAAGATGGATCCAGATTTCAGAAATCCATGTTTATGATTGAACTCTTTAGCGTGTTCCTGTAAAGGTGAAAAAACTGTATAAATTGTGATGAGAGGATGTGGAAATACTGCACCTCATAACTGGCCTACGCTGGTTGGTGTTGTCATGTAGCTGCTGGCTACTTAACTTAGATGGTTTTCGCACTGTTCACTTCTTTTGTAGCCTCTGCTCTTCCTAGGTGATGATGCCTACTGATAACTCTTGCATTTCAGCTAGGCTCATTATCTTCACACGTTTCGTGTGTTTGAACAAAATGTTGTTGGACTTCTCAACAAGTAGATGTAACTCAACTAAACAAAAGATGGAAAAACATTGGGCCTTCTCTATGTGAGGGTCATAAAGAAAATTTGTATTGGTCTGTTGTGTAGCAGATTTTTCTAGTCTTGGAGAGTGGAGACACAGCTATTATAGCAGTGACACCAGGTTTTCCATTGTTGTACTTGTATCACATTAACATTTCTGTGATTCTCTTTTTTCATTGTAAACCTGTAGTACCTGCTTATGTAATTGTATTCTTATAGGTAGAAGGGTATGCTATTTCATATTATTGGCTGCTTGTGCTTGTAGGTTCCAAGTGAACAGAAGCTACCATCTCTGTATCTACTTGACAGTATTGTCAAAAATATTGGAAAAGATTATGTTAAACATTTTTCTGCAAGATTACCCGAGGTTAGTAAATAATCGTTCTTGCTCTTCTAACTTTTTTTTTTGTTGACCTGATAGTTGAGATGACCAGCTTCATGGAAAAATAATGAATCCTGGTTTCTTTCTGTATGAGATCAACCTTAGTTTTCTTGGGCGGTTCCTTGTTATTGTAGGTGTTCTGCAAAGCATATAAACAGGTTGATTCTTCCATACACAATAGCATGAGACACTTATTTGGAACATGGAAAGGAGTGTTTTCCCCAACTTCACTCCAAGTGATTGAGAAGGAACTTGGCTTTCAATCATCTACTAATGGATCATCAGGCGCTGCACCATCAAAGCCTGATTCTCAATCCAATCGTCCATCCCACAGCATTCATGTGAACCCAAAATATTTGGAAGCAAGGCAGCAGCTCCAGCAACCAAATAAGGCAAGCCAACTTCTTTTTTTTTTTTTTTGTAGATGTAGCTATTCAATGCTCTTGTCATCCTGAGTATCGTATCAAGACTGATAGATATTGCTCCCATTGAAAAAATATAGATATGTTCATAGCATTGTAACTGCTGCTTTATACTATCACATCACTCGTGAGATTTTTTCACCTCATTCTATTCTCCCCTCGTTCTGTACAGGGACAGGGGATACTGGGAGCTGGGGCCAAGACTACTACAATTTCCGATTCTGGTGATGATATTGAGAGGACTAGCAGGACAGCTGTTGATAGAGGTGCAGGGCGGCGGCTGGATGCTTTGAACCCTAGGACTGTAAGTTCATCATTTGATCATTGAGTAACATAAGTGCTTAGATGTATTTACTTTGTTATATATATAATGCATATGTTATTATTTGACTTTGATATGCAGAATGTACAGCGGGCACAAAGGGACCCTTTTAGCAATCCTATTCATGAAAAGCAAGATAGAGATATGAGGGTCCTTGGATTCTCCAACATTTCGCAGCAGGCTGTTGTGGGAACTGGTCTTGTTCGTGCAAAACCTAAAGGCCAAGATGGAAGTGGCGGACCATATTATACTGCTGGAGTTGGTTCTTCTGAAGAACAGTTTGACAGGCGCAGCAATTTTTATGCAAACAAGGATGTTAGACCATCAGGATCTGTACGTTTAGATGGTGCACTTTTGCCAACTCCTGTTAGTAATTCTGATAGGATTGGTAGGCCGTCATCCAACAAAAGCTGGAAGAATTCTGAGGAAGAAGAGTACATGTGGGATGATGTACGTTCTCAAGGAGCAGATTATGGAGGTACCAGTTCAACAAGAAAAAGAGAATGGATACCTGATGATGGAAATGTTGGAAGCTTTCAAAGGGTTAAATGGGCAGAGGCGGGAGGACCTTTGGACCCTGACCAACACAAATTAGATAGCTTCCAAAGATTTGGAAATGCGACGGGTCAAGATAGAAGAATTACACCATATATGGTATGTGAAAAGAAGACAGTACTATAAAATCATATTCAATACTTGATAGATACAGCAAGTTAATTTCTTGTACCTAATGTTGTTAGATAGTTTGAACTGCTGGTTCGCTCTCAAATTTGCAATTTATAATATTGCCTCAAAATCTTAGGTTTTACCTGTATACCATGCTAAATTTTGATGACATATATACACATATTCCATCTTTGCACTACTTTTGGACAAGATTATAATCTGATTGTTTTTTCAATTGTTCAGGATCATGAAGAGTACCTTCATGGTAAGCACGAAGTGGAACCAAGAATTGATAGGGAAATGCTCCCGGAAGGACAGCCGTTCTCGTCATCTCGTGGTTCCTCTCTCTGGTTATCCCATGAAAAACCTCTCCCAGACATTGTGTCAGATCCTAGGATATCAGCGTTTTCCAATCAGCCAGCGGACAGGCCTACCATTTATGCTGGTACCTTGTCAACAAGTATCACTTCATCTGTACCTGTTGGGTTGTCAGCAGCCTATGCTGGACGATCAAGCCTAGAAAGTGCAGCAACAAGATCAACTGAGACTATAGGACAGCAAAAGAATAGATATTGGTCAACTTCCTCACCACCTGTACAGTCACCTTCTGCATCATTTGCACGCCAGAGTTCCCCTAGTCCTGTAGAGCTTGATTACTCTTCCAAACCATTCTCACAGTTGGGTCAAAATTCTCTGGAAGACTATAACCAAAGAACTCATGCCTTGGCTCAAAACCTTGCACTTTCTCAGGGCAGACCTAATCTGCTGGGTGCTCCTTCACATGCCTCCCAGCAGATTGAAAAGCACCCTTCCTTGCTGCAGTCAAAGCCACATCTCAGGACACTTGATCAACCGCAGGCAAACTTTTCACCTGAAAATTCATCTTCAGTATTTAAATCTTCAATCCAGCTGCCTATTTCTGTTGGCGTGGGGCATCGGCAGCCTGAAGAAGTATCTCTGTCTAGTGATTCCACTCTTATGAGCTCAGATCATTTAAGTGCTAGCAGTTTGTTGGCTGGCCTTATAAAGAGTGGATTCAAACCGAATGACCCCAACGATCTTGCCAGTTTGAGGGCACAACCTCCTCTTCCAAGTGGGCCACCTCCTCATGTTTCGACATCTTTTTCAGCTGCTTCCTCATCCCTGCACCTTCCAGCTAGTGATACTCTGAAGTCTCAGGCGCCAAACTCTCTGCGCCCACCTTTGCCCCCTGGGTTGCCACTTTCGTCGCCGTTTGTGTGCCCGACAACACAGACCTCGGAGAAAGCTGCACCACTCTCTAGTCTTCTCAGTTCCCTGGTTGCAAAGGGATTGATTTCTTCGCCTTCTGCAGATTCAACTGTAGCGATCCCACAACAGCCCTGTAAATCAGAACTGAACACACCAGATGACACTGCTTCAGCTCCATCTCTGCCTTTTGTCCAGCCTTCAGTTAAAAAGGAAACATCCAATCAAAACTCATCTGCCCCATCTAAGGTGCTGGTGCATCAACCTGTTGAAATCAAGAAGGAACCTGCAGAAATCAAGATGGTAGACCTTATTGGCTTTGACTTCAAGCCTGAGATGCTCCGCAAGTACCATGCACATGTGATCAGCACCCTCTTTGATGACCAAAGTCATCAATGTAATACATGTGGTCTAAGATTCAGTCTTGAAGAAGAGCTCTCTGTGCACACTGCGTGCCATGGATCGAAGCAAAGTGAGACTAGAAAGACTGGTATCGCACCTGAAAAATGGTACCCTAGCAAAAATAATTGGGTCGATAGATCACATGAAGTGCAGAACAGCGCCCTGGAGTCTGCTTCTTCTGTTGCAGATTTGAGCTCTGAAGAGGAAGTTTGTGAATTCATGGTTCCTGCAGATGAGAGTCAGATTATCTGTGCACTCTGTGGAGAGTCATTTGATGACATTTATTCCATTGAGAAGGATAACTGGATGTACAAGGATGCGGTCTATTTTGATTCTTCGAAGACAGAAGGCAGCAGTGGCGACAGTGCTGAGAGTAAAGAGCGTGTACCCATAGTGCATGCAAGATGTATGTCGATAAGCTCAAATGATGGCATGGAGGTTGATTAGCATTTGTGCCAAACACAGGGGCAGAAGCAGTAGCAACAGAAACAGCTCGAATGATGAGATTGAGGTGGATTAGCTGGAAATCTGGTGCTTAACAGAAGCTCAAATGAAATGATGCCACAAAAGTGGGTCAGCGTGAGGGGTGATCCGCAGCAGCAACTGCAATGATGCTGTCGCGGCCATGACATGTAGGTGGATTAGTGTGAAGTTGACAACCTGACGCGCTGCACAAGTAAATTTTGGTCAAATGTTTGTGTTCATCCCTCAGTCACCATTAATCGTGGATAAGGTGCTTACACAGAATAAATTCCAAGTCCAGCTCTGGCCTTGTCAACCGATCATCCTCGCAATCGAGATCTTCGGGGGTCTGATATTTGTATTTTTGGTTCAATCGAAGGGAAATGATCTTTCTGTTCATAGAAGGCCAGCTTGTATGTTAAAAAGGAGTGTATTGTTTCATTACGAGGGAAAGCAATAGGTGACGCTGCCATTGAGTTACTGTTGTTTTTTGGCAAACTTGTTTCATCTTCCGAGGACTAGAGATTTTGTACCTAAAAAGAACTGATAATAGAACATCATGGAGGCAGAATTAAACTAGTTACTTATGGCTTGCTTGCTTGATGTGGGAGTTCTTCATTGTAGTTCGATGTTCCTTCCTCCTTGCCATTGTGATGCGTAAAATTGTTTTGTCGTCGGAAGTTGTTAATTCGGCAGATGATAGATCTGAGTATTATATAATTCTGTAATTAATTGTGAAACTGTAGGCATCAGTAATAAGCGATTCCATTCCCACCTGATAGATCCTGGTGAATAGCTCAATGATTTGCCTCTCATGGATTCCTGGTACAAGTCAATGTTACGAAAGAGGCCATTTGGATTAATAAATGTCCCTTCAGTCATGACTTATGTTACTAATCACTTGATGAAACAATGCGGTCAAGTCGAGTTGCTTGTTAATGTGGTAGCTTGATGCACGTTACTCCATTGTAATACTAGTACATTTTAGCATGTCTGATGCTTCCGTTTTGCGTAACAGCAATGGTTGGGCTTAACTAAGCTAATGCCCAGTGGGAGAAGACAGCAGCCGACCGCCCCACCCTGGTCTAGAGTATTAGCGGAATACTAACTTGATTATATAAATAAATTCAATTTCTTTTTCAAAAAATAAACACAATAAATGGCTTAAAACAAGTAATGCAATGGTCAATGGAAAAGAACACTTCTTAATAGAACTTTTTTTTAAAGAGTGAAGTAAATAAGCTGTTTCAACAAGCCGATAAATAACCTGAAAAGAAAATGGCTCATTTCAACAGTCGAACGCCACCTACCGCTTATGGAGTTTGTGGTTGCAGATGGTTCCCCTTGCTACCTCTGTCGGTCAGCCCCAACCACCAAACCAACCACAGCCATATTCCCATCCTATCAACATCAACCTTACGGAGTACGTGCTGCCATGGATGCATGTTTGTTTCTCCCAGTACTCACCAAACTGTCTTCTATGTTCTATCTGTACCATCTACAGTACTATGTGTGTACTCAAAGTAATGGCATGCCATATCGATCAGTGAATTCATTCATTTTTTTTTTCTCAGCAACAAGAGAGCCAAACATTTGTGAGCAGACAAGATCACAGGACAGCAGAAATGTGGTGGTTGTTTTGATTGTTTTAGGCAGCTCTTCCATTCCAAGATGTAAAATTCGACTTACTGAGAACATCATCATGATGTAAATCCGCACCCGCGACCGCAATCAAACATTAGGAGGTCTTCCTCCCCTCTCTCCAATTTTGGTCACAAAAATTTCAAAGGAAAACAAGAAGAAGAAAGAAGCAAATTAACCAACAAAAATTTGAGCATTTCTTGAGATAACTGTATTCAACTACCAATAACAGCAGCAGCATCAGTCTTGTTGATCAATCAGCTGCTGCTGGTGTCGCCGGCGGTTTGGCCGGAGGAGGAATACTCCCAGGGCGTCATGTCCATGGGGTAGCTGCCGAGCACCCGGAGGAAGGAGGTGAACTCCTGTATCTCCGACAGCGCGTTCTGCGCCCTGACCTCCGCCATGGACGCCTGGAAGTCGATGTAGAACATGTACTCGAAGTGCTTGGCCGTGCCCACGTTGGCGTCGTCGACGAGCCGGATGGGGCGGTGGCGGTGTGGGCGGCTCTCGATCTTGGTGAGGCTGATGTCCCGGAACGCGAAGGCCGACAGCACCTTGAAGAGCACCGACGTGCCCTCCCTGTCGTGCGCGAACACGATGCTCGTCTTGAATGGCCGGTCCGTTCGCGGGATGATGGGCTCCCGCGCCAGCATCACGAACCGCGTCACGTTCCCGGCGTCGTCCTGGATGCCGTCCGCGAGCACCTGGAGCCCGTACAGCTCGGCGGCGCGGGAGGACGCGATGGCGGCGGTGTCGCGGAGCCCCGCGGCGGCGACGTGCTCGGCGGCGGCCGCGGTGTCGTCGAAGGCCTCGCGGGCGACGTTGAGGCCCATGGCGTTGAGGGTGAGCTCGCACTGGGCGAGCGCCTGCGGGTGGGAGATGACGCGGGTGAGGAGGTCCCTGCGGACGCCCGGGAGCGCGAGGAGGCAGTGGTGGACGGGGAGCTGGACCTCGCCGACGATGTGGAGGCGGTGGCGGAGGAGGAGGTCGTAGTTCCGGTGGATGCTGCCGCCGAGGGAGTTCTCGACGGGGAGGACGGCGCGGTCGGCGATCCAGAGCTCGACGGCCTGGAAGGCCACCTCGAACTGGTCGCAGGGGATGGCGTCGCAGGAGGGGTAGGCCTTGGCGGCGGCGGCCTCGCTGTATGCCCCCGGGACACCCTGGTAAGCGACGCGCAGCTGGCTGCCGTGCATGGGCGCGGGGGAGAGGTCGGTGATGGTGAGCGGGCGAGGGAGGTTGGAGACGGGGAGCAGATCCAGGTCGAGCGGCGGCGCGGCGTGGTCGGAGAGGGCGGGCTTGATGCTGTCGCCGTTCACCCGCGGGGCGCCATAGGCTTTGGCGTTGGTGGTAGTGGTGGTGGCGAGGATGGCGGCGCAGGTGGTCTGCCAGTGGGCGCGGGAGAAGGGGGTGGCGCACGGCGGGCGGATGGCCGTGGATCTGGGGATCTGGGTGGGGCGCGGCGCGGGCAGAGTTTCCATCATCCGGCGGACGGCGACGGCGAGGGGTGGGTGGCGGGAAAGGGCGGCCTCCCTCCCTCCCTGTAGCTGCAAGGGAAGGGAAGCTAAAGCTTTGTGTCTCTCGGTGGTGTTGCGTTTGTCGAGAAGATGGAGTGAGGGACTGCCTCCACCTCAACGAGACGCCGCGGGACCAACTATTTGTTTTTCTTAATAATCACGATTCTTAAATATTATTTATATTTTTTTAATACATTGCTATTCCATTTTGGTAAGCGCACCAACTCCATTTGTCAGCATGAGTGTGAATGCCTATTTTACCATATTACGAACCCTACATGTTCATCCTCCTTCCTATCTCCATCTCTCAAATCACTCTCCTCTCATTGACGCATGCCTCATTTTTTACTCCTCCAAGCCTCCTGACCTTCCCTTGATGTTTCCCCTTCTACCAACATCTAGCTATCCACGCCCCCTTCCTCTCTTCCTCCTTATTGCGCTAGCTCTTGAGCCCTTGCGTGATGAGCCTATAGATCACCGAGGTCTCACATTCTCTCTCGACCTCCTTGTCTCGTTAGTTTTCCCTACTTTTTTTCGTCATTGGTAGTCATGCTCGTTGCTCCCACCGTTGACAAGCCTAGATCTAGCGAGATCCCACTGTCGAGCTCCACCATTCCTTGTTGCGGTTGGTTCTATCACACTAAAGAGCCCTTCTCGTCACACGAGACCCATCGGTGGCAGTGATGGAGGAGGAGATGCGTAGCAATGGAGTGAGAGGAAGGTGATGCGCTGACCTACTTTCTCATCATCGATGCCGCCTCACTTTCATCAACCATCGTATATTTTTAAAGTAATTTTCGTATATTTTTTTTTAAAAAATAACACATTGTTTTAGCATTTCGAAAAGCGTGCACGTAAAATATTGAGAAAAGTGAGTTTGGACCTAAGGAAACGAACTCATGCTCGGCGCTGCATGAATTTATATTTATGTATTCTATGTATTCAGCGGTAGATGTACACATCAAAGTCAATTTTTGTTTTGCAATCCACGCCGCTCAGGATGCTTCCTTCGAACACAGAAAGAAAGAAAGAAATGCGAGGCATTGAGTCGTTATGTTAACTAGGAGCAGCTGTCTAGATGCTGGACTTTTTACACATGGCCCTTTCTGCAGAACTTATTTTACGAATTAAACTTTTTAGAAAACTAATTCTAGAAACAAATCCCTATGCTCAGCGCAAAAAAGAATGGCGTTAAGCTTTAAATAGACACGCAAGAGATATTGGTATTGATTTTGACCCTAGCATGCGCTCGCGGCAGCTGAACCACACTGGTGAAGCGGCTCGGCGCATGCTTTAAGAGAGAGAGCTTGGAGACAGTGCGAGCAATGTCTAAGGATCGCGCTTGCAAAGGCCAAGTCAAGCTCAGGGACGGCATGCGGCGAGCTAGGCCGAGGCTGTTATTGGGCTGGTGGGGTATAGGAAGGTAAAATGGACATGGTGACCGGCCTGTGAGGGGGATTGGGCCGCCGGGAAGAAGGAGAATAAGTGGGCCGGTCTATGAAGGGGAGGAAGATGGAAAAAGTACACCGAAGGTCCCTCAACTTGTCATCGGGATAAAAAACGCTCTCAAACCACAAAACCAGATATGTGGATCCCTTAACTATACATCATCACCCTCTGCCCTCCTTTCCCTTTCCCTTTCTCCTCTCTTTCTCACTCTTCTCTTACCTTCCCTGGGCGACTGGGCAAGCCGGCAGAAGGCGACGGCGCAGGGCGGGGGGGAGGGGGAGGGGGGGGGGGGGGGTCGGCGGGGAGGCGGGGCGATCCTGCTCTACAAGGCCATCGCCCGCCGCATCTTCCCGCGCGAGTCGAGCTAGGAGTACCTCTTCCTCTCCGACGAGCACTACGCCTACCGTGTCTGCAACTGGCTCCGGCGCAAGGGGCTCATGCCGCTGCTCAAGGTCCTCGAGCTCCCGGAGGTGTACATGACCACGGGCAAATGGGAGCAGATGCCCTACACGCGCGTGGTGTCCGTGGCGATGCGGCAGTACAAGACTACAAGGGGGCGTTCGAGAAGCACGACAAGTCGGGCGTCGCCGAATTCCTAGACGAGGTGCGCACCGGGAACGCGCGGGTGCATGTCGGCGCGGCCATGCCGCACGAGCTGGTGGCCGCGGCACTCAAGCACGAGCACGACTAGGCCGCGAGCTCCAGTGGCGCTGGGCGGTGGCGGCGACAGTGACACCACCAGTTCGACCGACCGTCCCCATCTTCTCGACGACGGTGCACGGGGAGAAGGGCTGACAGGCTGGGGCGTGCGCGGCAGCATCACCAAGCAGGAAGTGGACAAGCGACGACGGCAGCGATGGGGATGACACGACGGAGGGGGCGGTGGCGACGGACGTCGTCTGCGTGTGGATTTGCAGCGCGATGGCTATCCTCGGTTTCGCCCTGGATAGGTGGGCAGCGAGTTGGTGGTGGTGGTGCCGCCCGGACTCGAGTTATATCGAAGGTCGCCGCTCATCTCTTCCCCCGTCGGCAGCCGCCGGCGCCCACGCCCGCCGCACAGACCTGCCATGCCCAGCTGCTTCCCCGGCGGCCAACGTTTCGATCCAATCCGGCGAGAGAGAAAGGGAGAGGATGTTGCTGGGGTCGGCGGCGCTTCTTTTCTTTCTTCTATTCTCTTCTCTTCTGGCCGCCTGCAGCAGATGGGGAGAGGTGGCCGTCGATGCCTCCGCGCCTCTCGGCCTTGTCGGCAGCGGCGGCGTTGTCCTCCACCGTCGTTGCTCTCCCCACGAAGGCCTCGGTGGCTGATGCCGCGGCTGTTGCCCGCCGCCGCTCCACCGCCCATCGCCCTTTCTCCGCCCGGCCTCGTGCACGTGTGTCGTCGTCATCATCGTCGGGTGCGGCGACGTAGGTGGAGGCGGAGGCTGACGCTGCGGCTGGTGCCCGCCGCCCCTTCTCCGGCCAGGCTCGCACCTGTGCGTTGTCGTCATCGTCGGGTGCGGCGGTGGAGCTCGGTCGTCGACATGCCCCGCCTCACCCACACAGAGAAGACAGAGAGGAGTAAAGAGAGAAAGGGGAAATAGAGGTGACGACGTGTCACCTGGCATGTGGGTCTCACGCTTACTCAACTGCCATGTCGAATGAAACCGGGGTAAAAACCGCCCGAGGACCAAGAGTGAACAGCTGCCATATCGAACGAAACCAGGGTAAAAACCACCCGAGGACCAAGAGTGAATGGTTTTTGTAAGTTGGAGGATGTCAAATATCTAGTTTTTGTGGTTAGGGACAATTTTATAACTCGATGATAAGCTGAGGAACCTTAAGTCCTTTTAAGTGTACTTTTTCCGGAGGAAGATAGGACGGAAGAAGGATGGGCTGGGCTGGGCTGGGCTGGGCTGGGCTGGAGAAAGCATGAGTCACACTCACGGCCCGGCCCCCTCTCCCGTGGCTCGTCATCGTGCTTTCACCCCGTGCATGAGACGAGCTAACAACCTTTAATTGGATGTTTCTCCGGTAGGGAACATAAGACAATGAATGACTTGTGCAGTGGTGAAGATAGTGATAAACAAAATATATATTTTTTAAACTTCGTTAAACATATTATGAATGCAAAAAAAATTACCATTAATAAATCATGGTAAATAATTTGTTGTCATAAAAATATACTCCCTCCAGTATTTTAATGTATGACACCGTTGATTTTTTCGAACAACGTTTGACCATTCATTTTATTTAAAAATTTTATGCAAATATAAAAATATTTGTGCCATGCTTAAAGAATATTTGATGATAGATCAAGTCATAATAAAATAAATGATAATTATATAATTTTTTGAATAAGACAAATGGTCAAATGTTGGTTAAAAAGTCAACGGAATTAAAATATGGAGGTAGTATTAATTATTTTCAATCATTATACTTGCATTCTAACTATACGCTTCTTAATAGTTTCATGGGCCGATTCTAGAATGAAAAAACGAACCCCGTGCTGGCCGGGTTTTTGTTTTTGTTTTGCGGAATGACTTTTTACTCTGACAGTGTGAATTTGGGTAAGGGGAGCACTATTGCAATGAACTATCCTCTCTACGCCGCCGATTCTATAGAATAGACCGCAGGAGAGTGAATTATATTCGCTTTTCAGAAAATTAACTAGCTAGTCAAAGCCGCCCGGTCAGTTGTTCTCCATCTTGTCAGCCTCAGTCAAAAATTAAGATTTACACATTAGCTTTTGAGTTAATTTTGATGTTTTTAACTGTAGTTTGTTTTTTAGTGTTGACTTTTAGTGATCGGCTGTACAAGTCATGTGCATTGTGCAATATGTGCATCATCGCGATCTTCTAATTAATTCCTGTAAGGGAGGGAGGATCCGAGTAAGTATTCCTATATGGGGGATTCGGGTCATATATAATCAGTACTCCACGAAACGATCTACTACTTCACAATCAGTGTTGTCTTGGAGAATGGAGTATCTAAAAGAAATACTAGCAGGACTGTACGTAGGAGTAGTCTGTACTAGTACTCCATAGTGTACTCCGTTTCTTTCTTATAGTTCTTCGGAATCTAACTGCTAACATTGACCTCTTCCGAGTCTAACTGCATTGACCAGTGACACGGCGAAAACAATCACTGACCAGTGATCGATACAACAATACGTTTCCCATCTCTACGGTCTACGCCCACGTTTCACATCTTGTGCTAATATTAGCTCCGTTTCTAAATATTTAATACCGTTGATTTTTTAAGCACATATTTAACCGTTTATCTATTCAAAATATTTTATGACATATGTAAAACTATATGTATATATATAAGTATATTTAACAATGAATTAAATGATAAAAAAAATTAATAATTACTTAATTTTTTTAATAAGACGAACAATCAAACATATTTAAAAAAGTCAACGACGTCGAATATTTAAGAAAACGAAGGGAGTACTAGCTAGCTTTAGAGCAAGTATAATAGTAGGCTATAAGCTGGCTAAATGCTGAGGTGTAAGAGAGAAGAGAGGAGAAGCGAGCTTGACGGAGCGCGGCGCTCCTCACCGGGAGACCGCACAGGCCCCCCTTTGCCGGTTCGGCCGGGGGCTCAGGGTGAGATCTCAAGCTCTCCGTGTATGCGGGAAGATCGCGACCTCCCAAAAGAGCATGAAACACAAGCGATGTATACAGGTTCAGGCC